TACCGTCATTGGTTTCGTTAATTTAGCGAAATTCTTAATGAATTTTCGGTAGTAACCTACTAATCCTAAGAAAGATTTTTATCTCTTTGACAGTTCTTGGAATTGAAAATTCCTTTATTGCCTTTATTTTGTTCGGATTAGGTTTTATACCGTTTGGCGTTATCACATGTCCTAGAAATTCTACTGTTCTTTGTAAAAATTCAGACTTATCGAGTTGAATTTTCAAATTATATTGTTGTAGTCTTTCAAATACTTGTTTGAGGTTTTTTACATGTTCTTGAAGTGAAGTCAAAAATATGATGATGTCATCCATATATACAAGACATATTTTGTTTTGCAATCCAGATAACACATTATCCATCGCTCGTTGAAAGGTTGCTGGTGCATTTTTAAGTCCGAATGGCATTCGAGTAAACTCATAGTGTTCATATTCAACATTAAATGCCGTCTTAGGTATAGAGTTGGGGTGCATCTCTACTTGATGGAATCCAGATGCGAGATCCAATGTTGTGAAATAATTGCTTCGTCCTAATTTATCCAGTAAATCTGAAATGTTCGGTATTGGGTACCTATCGTCAATAGTTTTCTCGTTGACTTTGCGATAATCCACTACCATTCTCCATTTCTGTATGCCAGAAGCATCTTTCTTTTTTGGCACTATCCATACTGGTGAGGACCATGGGCTGCACGAGGGTTGAATTATATGTTCATCCAACATTTTTTTTATTTGTTGGTTAATCTCGTTTTTATGTATATGAGGATACCTATAAGTTTTTGTATGAACGGGTATTTCATCTGACGTTCTGATTTCATGTTTAACCTGATTCGTGAAGGTTAACTTATCATCGGGTTTATGAAAAATCTCCGGAAACGCCCGTACTACATTCTGTAATGCATTTAATTCCTCTTTATTTAAATGCTGAGTACGTAAAAATTCTATTAGATTATTATCATATTCATGTGGGTAAAACGACGTTACTTGTTCTATATTAAATGTCTCAAAAGCTTCTTCATTATAAATAAAATTTGCTTCTGCTAGGTCATCTATATGCGTAGTAAGAACAAAAGGTTTATCTGTTAGATTATGCACTTCTAACAAAGCTGTTCCATTTATAACCTTAGCTATTGTTTCTGGTATCATGTATTTCACTTGAGGTATTAAAATCTCAGTATTTTCAAGGATGTCTGTATTAAAATGACAAAGTTGAATAGTTTTTGCTGAAATTTCTAAATTTTGGGTATCAAAGTCTGTTCTAAATTGAAATGGAATTGTTATTTCTTCATTACTAAGGCACATATTTGTAAAGTCAATATTTAAATTATTTTCTTGTAAAGCTTTAATTCCTATAATACCGTCAAAATAATCATGAAAATTATACATTATCATGTCAATATCCTGATCAATATTAAATTCATGTAAAATTGGAATTCTCACTTTACCATGGGCTTTTCTTGTTCCCATACATGTAGTAAGTTTATTTAAAGAGTTCACTATGAAATCTGGGAAGTATTCTTCCGCTATTGAAGGTCTTATTACATTACATACTTACAAGGTGGATCGAAAGTTTCAATAAAAGGTAGTTGATTGACTTGGTATGCATTTAAAGTCAATGCTGATTGTTCGATTCCAAGGCTAGTGTCTGAAAATTTTCATCAGGGCTTTCTTGGTAATCTTGAGTTATTTGATCGTCATTTATTTCTGAGTTTTCGGGTATTTCTCCGAATTCTGAACTTTCATAGTTCTCAGAAGTTTCGTCTGGTTCTTGTAATTGAATTCCATAATATATATTATTTATTTCCTCAATGGTGTATTTTGAAGGACCTGCATTGGGATCTGGTCGAAAATAATTTGATTGTTGGGGTTGAAAACCTCTTGAAAAATTTCGTCTATTAATTTGGGAATCTTGTCTTTTTGGTTGAATAGATACGCTAGACATAGGTGTCGGTTTTGTTAAGGGAAGGTTATTGTTTGGTTTAAAAACATTTGTTTTGTTGTAATTTTTACCAAACGTACCCGAACTAGTAGGGAATTTATGGGTTATTGCTTTTGTCTGTAAGTTTATTGGTTGTAAAGGAAATTGTGGCTTCACATGGAAATACGGGTTTTGTTGTTGTTGTGTATTGTTTTGTTGGTGTTGAAATGTTTGGTTATTTTTTGTCTTAAAATTCGAAAAGGAATTATTTTGATTTTTGTTAAATTTCATATGATTCTCAGCCATCTGATAGTTTAGTACAAAAGATGTTGCTGCGTCTAATTTTATAGGATTCTGAACCATTAAGATTGTTCTAAGCTCAACTGGTGAATTTGTTATCAAATTCTGTACTGCTGTAACTTCATTTTGAGCTACAAGAATATTTGCAACTGCTAACAAATTACTGTCACACATTATTTTTGAAGTAATTCGATGATTAAGAGCTTTCAATCTTTCTAAATATTTATAAATTGATTCCTTTTGGTTTCTTGATGCATACATTAATTCTTGAATCAAATTTTGACGAGAATAAGGATCTCCATATTTAATTCTTAGAGCTCCTTTAATATCTAACCATGATTTTAAATCTGGACGTGTCATCAAAAAATTTCCAGCATCATTGATAAGCTTTGATTTTATCGCAGTTATTACATATTCTTTTTGGGCAGGATCCCCTACATAATAAGTGTGATAAAATTCATCAATATTACTAATGAAATACTCCAGATATTGAGTTTCGCCACCAAAAGGCTTCAAAAGTTGAACTATGAATTTCAAATTTTCACCCATGTTTCTGTTTTGTCTAGTTGATTGAATATTAGGTCTTAATTGATATAATTGACTTAGATATTCTTCAGTATCTGATTCAGATTGAGACATAAAAGAAAACTTTAATTAAACAAGTTTTATTTTAGAATTAAAAATTGAAAATTAAAATAATAGGATTAAAGAATGTTTTATCCAAAAAAATAAAAAGTAGATTTTCTTGAAAAAATAGGTTAAAACCTTTGCAAAAGAATTCAAGAAAAATCCAAAAATAACTCTTAAATATGAAACACCAATAACAAAATATTAGGGAAAGGTTTACTTACTAGGCTCGATGCTAATAACAGTAACACTCTCACTATTTATACGTTGGTTCTCAATGTTTCTTATGTCCAGTTAACACCAAGTGAAGTGGACAGGAATTTCCTCAAATTTCACTCCAATGATCACTGTAATTCAGGTTTCACTGCAATCCAATTTTCACTGTAATCCAAGTTATCACTTATAGATTCAGTTCGATTGTCTTTAGTAATTCGCGGGTCACGATCTCGAAATTCGGAAAAATTTGTGCACTCTGAACATCCGGTTTTTTACGAAAAAAAATTGTAAAAAATTATCCGCACGACTGCGCCAATTAAGTTTCAAATAAGAAACTTTACTTTTTTAAAAACTTTATTTTAATTAAAAGTAAAAGTAAAGTAACATATGAAGACTGGTGGAACTAGTTGCTGCTGCAAAGCATGAAAGCAAAAGAACAATTGTGCATGGCTGCACAATAAATGCAAGTTAGCAATATTCACTAAAAACGTCAACAATTGTGATGTCATCGTAGGCGAGCAATTGGTATGCTTCTTAAAACAATAGATTGATTGACTAATTTAATATTAGTCGATATGGGAATCGTTCAATACATCTCTACCAAGATGTAAATGTAAATAAAACTGGTAAATTTAAAAAGTTTTTTTTTGCACGGAGTTTATTTTCATCTGTTTACGTTTTGGTTTGTTATTGGCTTCCAAATAATGTAAATAATAACTTGCATATTTTTATCACTTTTCTAGTGAAAATAAAAAATGTGCGCCATTTTATTAAGTTGTGAATTGGATTGAATGACATTTTTGCACCAAACATTCAAGAGAAAAATCAAATAATACTTACTCAGCTACTTGCCAAATCCTTTATTATGAAAATATTAATTTTTGTTAAAAGTTTCTCAAAACACTAAAATCAACACGCAGATTTTGCACACTAACACTTCTTGTATCACGCAATCTTTGTAAAACGGGCACAATGTTCTTTCATCACGTGGGCGCTTTTCTTTTGGGGAATCTTTCTCTACTTTCCCTGTAAATTCTGGCGGCCAGATGGGCATTTTGCAACGATTCTGCCTAAATAAATGTAAAGAATATTTACTTGCACCTACCTAACAAAAAAAACGCCGGATGACGAAGCGAATAGGGTTGGGTAATATCAGCAAGAAAAGGATGAATCAGTCTTGATATTCTACTGCTGATGGGGATCAGTCGATTTAGAAATAGCGATATTGAATTTCTTTGTAACTAATATAATTCGTTTAAATGAAATCGAGTCTTATCATAAATATTTGTGCACCCTGAGAAAAGTAGCTTACATAAATATCTGCATATTCCATGTTTCTAAACATTTTATTTTTAAAAAAAGAATGAATTTGAATTACGCGCGTTTCACAACTAGACAATACAAATCAAGAATCAATTTATTCAGCTCCACCAAAGTTCAACCTTCAACCACCTATTCGTTATTGTGCTGTGTTGCCAGATATTTAGATACCCTTTTACAAGTGAAATTTATATGTTGTTTTTTCGATTTTTTATTATTGTTGTTGACTAAAATAAAAATGCTTTTTCTACATCTTATAATGATTAAAATTTTCTATACCTTTAAAATATTCGTTAAAAAATGTCAAAACTTCAAAAGCCTTTTTCTCAAAAATGGTTGAGTTTGGACCCCATATTGTATAAACTTTTTTTGTTCAAAATAGGCCATATTTTCACGTGTTAAAATTTTTGTAGTCAAACCCCCTAACACCCTGTATATACAGTTTACGTCAAGGCGAGAAATGAAATAACATGCTGCCTAGTGCCTATGTCACAATTAGTGATTTGGCCTAGAGGGGATTTGTTCCACACAAGTCTTATGAGGATAGACAATCCTGTAGTATTACTGTGTATCATCCTCAACTAGAGATTACTTAAAAACATCTACTACCAACTTTAATTCTAGATTGTTCCATCGAAACCAAAGTGATGTTCTCATGTCCGTGCTTCCACAACATCACAATAGAAATCTTTGCGTGCAGCAACACATCTACAGTAATCAATTTCATGGCCGAACCATCTATAGTCCAAGACTCTACGTATCCACTATTTCCGGCTATAGATGACAAGTCATCTTACGCTGATCTACTGCGTACTATTTCCTCAATAACCGAAAGATGGCTCTACACTCAGGGCTACTTTTACCAAACCTACTACAGAGTGCCCGACGATATTGCCAGATTTCCTGTCGACATGGTGGTTCCCGGCGACAGACGAAACTTTGCCAGGAAAAAAAAGCAGCAACTATTGCCCTTGATTCAACTTCTGGTCAACCTAATGGACTCTTCCATTATGACGTATATAGACGATGGGCAAATTATCAAAGAAGTCGGCGACAATCGCAGCTTCGCCAGCTACATTATTTACAAAAACACGATTTCGTTTTTGAAAAGTCAAGACATTTTCGTGCCCGGCCTTAGACCAGAACACCTACTTTTATACAGCGAATATTTAGAAGTTTGCGAGCTGACAAAAAACAGCGAGACGCGGAGAGTGCAAGAGGGCTTCGATGCGAGCACTTTTTATCGTTTTAGCAAACAAAAATGGCTGGATTTGTTTTTTCACATTTATAAGGTAAGTAAAAGTGGCAACAATGTTGTCAAGGTTCCTAAAGTTAACAGATTGTTTGGTAAGGAGTAATTTGATGACGTCATTTGAGGTTCCTCATGAAGATTTGCATTATGTTGAGGCTTTCTAGATGACGTCATGAAAGTTCTCACCTCTGTCAAACAACCTTGTAATTGGTTATAGGTTTTGGTGTTGCAACGTATTATCGATTCGAAATCGTTACCTCAAAATAACACCGATAGCGAGTTTATTAGACAAGATCGAGCAGAATTCGAAAATTATTTGGACAAAAATCGCAGCAGGTTTCCGAATTGGCACCTGTGCGACGCCCAGTTGCTGTTGTGGCTCGAGTACCACTACAACAGGCAGAGAACTTTGCTGTGGCCCGATCAAAAGTTTGACGGAGTCGTTCGTTTGGACGATTTTTCTGACGTTGATGACGGGTACAGTATATTCATCCTTTTTCCTCTTGCATATTTGAACAAAAAATGGTTTGTAGGGTGGCACTAGCAACAGTACTGGCTGCCTACTGTCCTTACTTGGCGGATCAGCTGAAAGACATTTATAGTTCGCCGAAAAATGTAGAGCAGCGTGTGCATAATGCGTGCAGGGTGGTGCAATCTTGGAAAAGCTTGAAGCTGAGTTTTGATTGTCATCCTCAGACCATCGTGACGGCTAATAAAATCAAAATTATTTTTATCGGTAATTAATAGAGTACTTGCGCATTGACATCTAGTAGGCCTTGCGAACAACAGAATTGTTGATATCCTTTGTCTTTGTTATTTTGGATATGCTAGATAGAGAGATGAATATATTTCATAGCGAATATTTTTGGTCTTTGTTAGGAACATCATAGTAGGCTTTACATATTTTTATTTTTTTTATCGTTTCAAATGTGCTTTTTTTATAAATATCAAAGTAGGCCTTGAGCAAGGATAATATACAATACTATAAGATTGCCTATTGGCCTCGTATTCGATAATCGCGGTCATATAGTGTAGCATCATCGTTGACGTCATTAACGGTGTTGTCAGCTGTTATGATGAAAAATATTATTTAATTTTTATTAATATAATAAGCAAACAGTGTTGCCAGAGAGCAAACATATTTTGGTAGGCTCAAGAAAAAAAACGCTATTTCAATTTTCTAGCGTTACAGTGTTGCCAAAAGTTAAAAATTTCAATCAGCCTACAACATCATAACAATCGTTTTTTGATGTCAATTATTGTCACTTGTCAACGTTTTACATTTACAATTACAAATGCTTTAAAATTACCGTCAAAATGTGGCAACATTGCTGTTGTAAGCCTCAAACTGTCAATTGACAAAAAAAGTCATAACAATCGTAGATGTTTCTGAAAATTAACTCGTCAATTGTCAAAAGTCATAATATTGTATATAGGCTTGTCAGTTGTCAAAAAAAAAATTCAGTAATTATTCCAAGTGTTTGAACCGGGAACAATCGAAAATTTACTCTGATGATAGTTTGACTCAACCAAATGATCATTTAAATTGTTTCCTACTTTTTCTCGCTCTTTGTCTTACTCATTTATAATCGCTTTTGGTTTTTTACTAATGTATCTTACCTTATCCTCTTTGTTTTACTTACTAAAATTTGGAAAAACATTATGTTTCAAATTGTAATTATGGCAACATCGCTTTTGTTCAAGTAGGTTTTGTAATGCAATGTCATTTGGCATTTTAGACAGTCGGCTATTTTCGAGTATTTTTATCCAGTTTCTCCTCGAATTTTCCACTTTTCTAGGCCGGTTTAGATCGGGCAAACTGTTAAGCCGGCCCGAAGGGCCGGAGTTATATGAGAGACCGGCCCGAAGGGCCGGAGTTATATGAAAGCCCGGCCCGAAGGGCCGGAGTTATACGCGAGCCCGAAGGGCCGGAGTTATTTTAATTACGGGGCCCAGTTTATAATTCTATTGGTCAGTGGATAATTTGGAGCCAATCAAAAACTGGGAATATTTAAAATGCGATTTTTAGCGCCCAATCAAACAGCCGGGAATATTCAAAAACTTTAGTTTTATTAAGTTGACTTTGGAATGTTAGTTTTCATAAGATTTTTACTTTTTTCAGAAAACGATGATTTTTGCAAACATATACTACTTTATCGTTGTCTTTGTCTTACTCACTATAATCAACAAGTGAACCTTGCAATGTCATTTTAATTGAAATTAAACTAGAAACAAGTTTCCGATACTTTATCTAGGGAATTTTAATTATTATAATCATTATTAATTAATTATTGAATTGAATTTTGAACAAAAAACCCATTTAAAATGTTATTTTTGTTTTCCGAGATGTAATGTGGCAATGTTGCTTTTAGACGGCCATTTTGAAGTGACGTCTTGTGATTTTTTGCCAGTTTTTCCTCAAATTTTCGACTTTTCCGAGGATTTTTAATGGAAAAAAGCGATTTAACATACGGGGCTTTAAGTTTTCTTCTTTTTCTACAAAAATTTCCACTTTTTAAATGCCATAATTAGCAAAATCCCATTTGTGGCAACACCGCTTGTGGCTAACTTCAATCAAGGAGGCCTTGTGATAAATATCATTTGACAGTCGGCCATTTTCATTTGTCGTGCTTACATTTTTATCCAGTTTTTCCTCGAATATTCCACCTTTCCGGGCAGTTTTCGATTGGGAAAATCGATTTAAAATACAAGGCTTTGAGTTTCCTTCATTTTGTAACAAAAATTTCGAATTTTTTAACGGGGTAAGTAACAAAAATTTAAGTTTCATCAAGTAGGCTTTGGAATATCATTTTTCAATGGTTTTTCTTTGGATTTTCCGCTTTTCCGATCAGGAAAACCGATTTAAAGTACGAGACTTTGAGTTTTCTTTATTTTCTGTCGAAAACTTAAACTAAACACAAACTACGTCAACCAAAAACCACGAGTGTTACGTGTTACATTGGTGACGTCATCTATTTACGTATCAAAAATTATTGTTATATTGAATTTGGATACAGAAATACAAGTTAATTAGAACATCGACATTAGACTAAGTAGGCAGTAGACTAAGACCAAATATACCAACGTACTTTTTCAAAACAAATGGTACCAAACCTGGTACAATTGTACCACCTCTGGCAACACTGTAAGGCAAAAAGAAAAATGCAAACGAGATTTACGTCACCACTGGGGCTTTAGCATGGTGGGGGGCTTAAGATAAGAATCATACAGACATAAAGATAGACTATATCTTGTGATAGTAATATGTACATATTATCCTTGGTCCTTTGAAGCCGGAATCTATGAAAAGAGGACATCAGAATATTGAAAAATTCATAAATCTACCCCAAATTGCTAAGAATCACTGAAAATTACATTGTAATAAGAAAAAAATTATGGGTTATAGCTTAGTGCATCAAACTATTTTTGTCTTTGTCGTTTTGAAGGTGCTAGACAAAGATGAACATGAAACATCAAAGTAGGCCTTGCATTAGGTAACTGATCGTATGTGCAAGTACCCTTAAGTAGTATAATAGTATAGTATGGTACAAAATCATATCTACAACTCTAGTAACAATAATAAATTTCTAGTTACCTATTTATACGAGGTGTTGCCACATTTCTATCCGGTCAACGAAGTGATCATCGAAGCTCCACTATCCGAATCGGCCTCGTACAGTTTGGACATTCAAAACTTCGGCAACGTCCCGATCAAGTACGCGGCGACATTTTTCGGCGAAAAGTCCGACCTGTTCCAGCTGGACTCGCACCTGCTGGAAATTGCCGGCGGAAAATCGCGAGCCTTGAAGTTAACTTACATGGCCAAACGAGTACTGCACGTTTCGGCGATTTTGGTACTTTCGGGCGAAGTCGGCGGTCAGCGGTATGCCAAAAGCATGGCGGTTACCATTACCGGAGTACCGTTGACCAGTTCCTCGGACGAAATCAAGCTGGTTGTGGAAACGTATAAGTTAACCAACAAACGGATTCCGATTAAATCACCTTATGGTCAATGTTACAAGGCGAGAATATTTTTTTGTTTTGATGAGGCAAAATCGTTTAAAGATCTTCATTGCGGGGCTGCATTGAAGAGGAATCACGTGCCTCGCGAAGTGGACATTGCAAGTGACAATTGCGAATTTTTGGAGAAAGGTTTAAAAAACGATTTCAAGCGTTTGACCGGTCGATTACACTTGACAGATAAACATCATTTGTCAACCAATCTGTCAAAGTTACCGATTGGTCAATGGCTTGAAAACTCACGTTTAACGAAAAAAATTTTTAGGCGAAACAATTATAACTTTGTCAACTTGTTTCTTGCACATCGGCACTTCGCAGTTTTATTTGTACTTTTGCAACGATCAAGTGGGCGATTTCTGCGTTTTGATCAGAACGATATCGGCGCTGAGCAAAAACCGATATGTACCGATTGAAGTAGACGAGCCGCCAACGAATGCGAAGTGCACGTGTAAACGGGGCATTAGTCCACGTTGTCCGAAAACGTTGGCGGTCAATTTGCCTTCGAGAAACCATCTTTTGTCAAGCAGCGTTGATGCTATGATAAGCAAATGTTTGGCTGAAAGTACCTTTGGATTTGTTGAGAGATTTTGCGGTACTATTGACAACCTATATATGTCACAAGTTACTAATTTTGACATTTTTAGGTACTCCGATAATATTCCGTTTACTCAAGTACTATCTGGACCGTTTCCCGCAAGGCTTCCTGTTGCCTTCGGCCATTTTTAATGACCAAAACGAATTTAACGTGAATTCGACTAGCAAAAATATTACTTTGGGTCAAAAAACAATAAAAATCAATGACGTCACTTCAGAGGAAACGATACCGCTGGTGCTGCATTTGGATCAAAACTCTAAAGGTCGGAATGTTTCTTTAGAACTTGTCAGTACCAATGGGATGGAGGTCAGGTACTATCAACTGGTGTTTCCCAAAGAGGAGGAAGAAGAGCCAAATGAACTATTGTTATAAGGCCCTCTAGCGTTAGTTAATTAAAATATCATTAATATTGCATTGTGGGTGAAATGGTTTTTTCTTTACTGGGGTTTTATTAAGATGAATCAACCCTCGGAGCGGTAATAATTAATAATTGACGTTGAAATGTTTGCTTTAATTTCGGGTAACTCAAACAGATTTTTTGAATAGGGGAATAAATAATAATCCAAGGCTCAATCCACAATGAATTTTAAAAATTGATCAGCACTGTTTTTGTCTTTATCTAATTGCATTAAATATAGAAAGGCAAATAACAATTGTTTAATGAAGTAGGTCAAGTAGGCCATGTATTACCCATAACTCCAATACTATCAACAAATGTTCTGTCTTTATTTAATGACGTTAGATAAAAAGAGATACAAACATTGTTTATTAGAATATCCGTTACGGTCTATTAACCGCATATGGTTAAAAAAACATACATGCGGCCCTATTAACACTTTTGTAACCCCTATATTGATAATAATATGTTAAAATATTAAACATGGCGGAATTTTCTTTGACAGTTTATACACTGTTGTTGCCAACATCAATAACGATATAATTAAAAGAAAATCCCAAGAGCCGGTAATAGGAAAAAAATGAGACAAACAAATAGTGAGGAAGTGCCATTTTCCTATTTAAAAACAGTGTCAAATCATCCATTGTTCGGTTGGCAACAGTAAAGATTGCTAAAAGCTCAGTTTTAGCCTAAAACTGAGAAGGCCATGTCGAGTTTCCTATTATGTGAGCTCATTCAGATGAAATAAAAATTGATGTTGCTGAATCCTAAAACTTCAAAGTTGGCAACCCTGAAAATTAACAAGTTTTTAAAATAATCAATGACATATGCGCATTTTCACCGATGTAATGCTGTCCTTGTCATTTAATCAAGAGGAATGCGCATAAGCAAATGGTGAATTTTAAACCTTGGCCATTGACTTATAGGTACTGAAACACTGATCTCAACTTATCTCTAGTAGGCCGAGTAAAATTCAAGTACCTTTTTATGGTTTATGGTATAAATAAAACACTGTTGCCAACCACATTTTAAACAAGCGATCCGATGATTACGGAGGAAGCCACGCCTCTTGGCTAACGGCGGAAAGATGTCCAGTGGTAGCGCGTCACTAGGTAGTTTAGTCAGTATTTTTGACGTTAAATGTGAGCGGAAGAAGGTTACGCCCCTGATATTTTCGCCATTAGTCCAGTGTTGCCAGAGGTGGTACAATTGTACCAAGTTTGGTACCATTCGTTTTGACAAAGTACGCTGGTACGACGTTGGCATATTTGGTTCAATTTTCAATTTTTTTATACTGTCTACTTAGTCTAATGTCGATATTCTAATTAACTTGTATTTCTGTATCCAAATTCGATATAACAATAATTTTTGATTCGTAAATAGATGACGTCACCAATGTAACACGTAACACTCGTTTTGTGGTTTTTGGTTGACGTAGTTTGTGTTTAGTTTAGGTTTTTGGCAGAAAATAAAGAGAACTCAAGGCCTCGTACTTTAAATCGGTTTTCCTGATCGGAAAAGCAGAAAATCCAAAGAAAAACCATTGAAAAATGACATTCCAAAGCCTACTTGATGAAACTTAAGTTTTTGTTACTTAACCCGTTGAAAAACTCGAAATTTTTGATACAAAATGAAGGGAATTTAAAGCCTCGTACTTTAAATCGATTTTCCCGATTAAAAACAGCCGGGAAAAATGGGAAAATTCTAGGAAAACCTGGATAAAAATGTAAGCGCATCAAATGAAAATGGCAGACTGTCAAAAATGACAAATGATACAATAAATACAAGGCCTCCTTGACTGAAGTTAACGACAAGCGGTGTTGCCATATCAAAAGCATTTTAAATGGGATTTTGCTAAACATGGCATTTGAAAGTGGAAATTTTTCCTAGAAAATGAAGAAAACTTAAAACCTCGTATGTTAAATAGCTTTTTTCCATTGAAAATTCCCGGAAAAGTCGAAAATTCGAGAAAAAACTAGCAAAAAATCACAATACGTCACTTCAAAATGGCCGACTAAAAGCAACATTGCCACATTACATATCGGAAAACAAAAATAACATTTCAAATGAGTTTTTTGTTTAAAATTCAATTTAATAATTAATTAATAATGATTATAATAATTAAAATTCCCCAAATGAATCATAGGAAACTTGTTTTTAGTTTAATTTTAATGAAAATGACAAGGTTTCCTTATTGATTATAGTGAGTAAGACGAAGACAATGATAAAGTAGTATATGTTTGCAAAAACCACCGTTATCTGAAAAAAGTAAAAATCTTAAGAAAACCCAAAAGAAAACCAATATTCCAAAGTCAACTTGATAAAATTAAAGTTTTTGAATATTCCCGACTCTTTAATTGGGCGCTAAAAATCGCATTTTGATATTCTCGGTTTTTGATTGGCTCCAAATTATCCGCTGCCAATAGAATTATAAACTGTGCCCTGTGATTAAAATAACTCCGGCCCTTCGGGCTTTCGTATTACTCCGGCCCTTTGGGCTCGCGTTTAACTCCGGGATTTCGGGCTCTCGTATAACTCCCTTCGGGCTCGCGTATAACTCCGGCCCTTCGGGCCGGGCTTTCATATAACTCCGGCCCTTCGGGCCGGGCTTTCATATAACTCCGGCCCTTCGGGCCGGGCTTTCATATAACTCCGGCCCTTCGGGCCGGGCTTTCATATAACTCCGGCCCTTTGGGCCGGGCTTTCATATAACTCCGGCCCTTCGGGCCGGTCTCTCGTATAACTCCGGCCCTTCGGGCTCGCATATAATTAACAGTTTTCCCGATCGAAACCAGCCTGGAAAAGTGGAAAATTCGAGGAGAAACTGGATAAAAACACTCGAAAATGGCCGACTGTCTGAAATGCCAAATGACATAACATACATTACAAGACCTACTTGATCAAAAGCGACGTTGCCATAATTACAATCTCAAACGTAATGTTTTTCCAGATTTTAGTGAATAAAACAAAGAAGAAGATAAGACATTAGTAAAAATTAAAAGCGATTATAAATAAGTAAGACAAAGAGCGAAATAAAGTAGGAAATAATTTAAATGATCAGTTGGTCGAGCCAAACTATCATCAGAGTAAATTTTCGATTGTTCCCGGTTTAAACACTTGGAATGATTACTCAATTTTTTTTTTTGACAACCGACAAGCCTACATACAATATTATGACTTTTGACAATTGACAAGTTAATTTTCAGGACCTCCTACTATTGTTATGACTTTTTTTTGTCAATTGACAACCTTGTGATTCAGATTGAAACCTACAACAACAACGTTGCCACATTTTAATGGTAATTTTGGAGCATTTGTAATTGTAAATGTGAAACGTTGACTAGTGGCAATTGACATCTTGTCATGTCATTTTGCAAAATTATAATACTTTCTCTAAAGATGAGCAAAGAACAAGGATGCAATTTTAATGCAGAACATTTTCATAAACTGGTTGAATTTTTGAAAAAAATTATACTTACCAACCAAGGTTATCTTGTAATAGTGGTAAGGGGTAACTTGATGACGTCATCTAGGGTGCCTTATAGAGATTCGCATTATAGGCGAGTTCAGGTAATCCTCCGTAAGCTAAAAGATGACATTGTTGACAGACACTTACGTGATCTTCCATTTGAAGCTACAAAACTGGTCACATGTGGTTGTCATTGTTTTGTCCGAATAGGATTAACCGAAATCTATTTATGATGACGTCATAAAAGTCATCAGGTAATCTACTTTTCCCAAACAACCTTGCTCACTAGCCACAAATTATAGTTTTTCAGTTGCTATGTGATAATCGGCTACCATCTTGCAACAAGACGGCGTTAATAATCTCAATATGTCTCTCTTTCTCTTAAGACAAACAAAAAACAAAGACAAAAATATGTTTTTGGTGAAAGTTTTGCCAACCTTCAAAAATTGCTGTCACCATTTTACAAAAGATGTATAAAAAAATAAAGCAAATAAAAATGCTTCGTCGTTAATCATTTGCGCCAATGTTCCTGTAATTCCGTAATTTGATAGGCTTGAAAGACAATACATTACATTTATAAGTGGCGCCTATGTCGTCAATTTATACGTCTCTCTTTCTCTGAAAACAAACAAAAGACAAGGATGAAAATATTGTTTGATAAGCTAACTGTACTGGCTTATGGTGTTATCATTTGATTTCAGGAAAAAAACAACCAAACTCACTGAATTTTTCTATAAAGTATTGCCAACATTTAAATAATGAAACACCACAATTTGACAATGTTGTCATGTTATTTTGCAAAATTATAATACTTTTTCCAAAAATTAGCAAAGAACAAGGATGCAATTTTAATGCAAAACATTTTCATAAATTCATTGAATTTTTGAAAAAAATTATACTTACCAACCAAGGTTATCTTGTAATAGTGGTAAGGGGTAACTTGATGACGTCATCTAGGGTGCCTTATGATAGGCGAGTTCGGGTAATCCTCCGTGAACTAAAAGATGACATTGTTGATATAAACTCACATTATCTTCCATTTGAAGCTACAAAACTGGTCACATATGGTTGTCATCGTTTTGCCCGAATAGGATTAACCGAACTCTACTTATGATGACGTCATAAAAGTCATCAGGTAACCTACTTCTCCCAAACAATCTTGCTTATCAGCCACAAATTATAGTTTTTCAGTTGCTATCTATCTAACAATATGTCTCTCTTTTTTTTAAAATATGTTTTTGTTGCAAATTTTGCCAACCTTCAAAAACTGCTGTCGCCATCTTGCCAAAGATGTATCGAAAAATAATATAAAAATGCTTCATTTGCGCCAATGTTCCTATAACTCCGTAATTTGACAGGCTTAAAAGACAATATGACATTTATAGGTGGCGCTTACAGTGTCAATTTATACATCTCTCTTTCTCTGAAAACAAACAATAGACAGAGATGAAAATATTGCCTCAATAAACTAATTGAACTGTCTCATGGTGTTGTCATTTGATTTCAGAGAAGAAACTAAACTAAACTCATTGAATTTTTATTATTGCCAATATTGAAAATCTAAAACGCCACAATTTGACAATCATTGAATTTTTGACAATAATAGTTTGACAGTTGCTATGTGACAATCGGCAAGAAGACTTTTGCGCTAATACCGTCAATATGTCTCTCTTTTTCTTAAAACAAATAAAAAACAAGGACAAGAATATTTTGTTGATGATATAAAACTGAAGTATATAAAAATGCTCTGTCGTTAATCATTCGCGCCAATGTTTCCCGTAACTCCTGCGGGAATAGCGCTTTCGTCCCGAGCCGATGTGATTGATTGTTGATCCTCTTCCCCTGTACTTCATGAGGGGGGAAAAAATCGAGCCAGTGACGTAGAATAAATCAATTATAAGACAAAATTTCTATTTTAAAATTGTGACAAATAAGTCACGGTCACGGCCGGCATTTCTTCCTGATTTATCACCTTGGGACCGTGTATTATTTAATAGCGTAACCGTGCGTGACTAATTTCCTAACCATAGACATTATGGTAAATCGATCGATTGTTGCTGTTACGTAATTGCGGTTATAGTAACTTTATCGGTTTTTGGCATAATTGGAAATGTTTTAAATACATTTATATTTGAAAAGTCAATGTCAACTTAATTTTTATTTTTTTCAAATTTAGGTTGGTCATACTGATGCTCAAAATCCTCATTTTTTTGCATAAATTATCAATATTCGGGGTATGTTTATCTTTTTCCAATTATATTGAGCCAAAAGAGATAAAAATGTAATAGATTAATATTATATTCAACAAAGTAGGCCATGCATTACCCAGAATGCGTTACTTGTTTGATCAACTGGCTTTTAAAATGACATTTTGACTGTTGACAGCTCAATCGGCAATGACAACTGACAATAATTACAACTTTAAACAATACAAAATCTCTACTTAACACAAAAGAGAAAAAAATCGTTCAATACTCTCCCTCCAAAATTACGATATGCCTTTTTGCATCTGGAAAATCCGTCGATGTGGGGAGGTAGGTTTTTCCTATGGAAAATCGAGGCGGAGCTAATGCGTGCGCAACTTTGGTGACGTCACGCCAAAAGGTTTTTCCGGATAATGGCGTCCGCGGGGGTTGGATTATCAGTGAATTCGAAGACGCGGGTCGTGGACGCGGGGGCGCGCACCGCTCACTTTCTCAAACAAGTGTGAAATTAATTGAGCGGCGAGTAAATTGTGAATTATAGCCGTCCTAAGGAAGGAGAGGAAATTTAATGTTTCGGCCTTTTTGTGTTATAATGTTAGGGTGTCCAAATTTTTCTTTTTTTATGTACGGATTTCTAATGTGAATTATTGAGGTACGATCAAATTACATATAAAGTCTGGTTCACACTATTTACAATTCTAATCCACCGCAATAAATTTCCATGATTTAGTCTGCTGTTTACTTTTCTATTTACCTACAATCGAGCCGACAAAAATTATCTTGAGTAAATTTACTTTTACCTTCTTAAACAATTCTCTTGAAGATTTTTCATAGTAGGTCCGTTTCCGTTTGATGGTGAACGCAAAAAAATGTCAATTTTGGAACAGGCCAGAGCACTACCGCATCTTCAAAGTTTGCCGCCGCCAGGCGGTTTGATGGCTCCGCACGCTCCCGACGGACCGCCCAATTCCGAAGTACTTTTAGCTCTTTTGGCCAGGAACAAAACCTTAGAAGGTAAGCAAATAATGATTGGAACTGTAGATGGAAAAAAGAAAACGCTATGTTTGAAAATGTCAAAAATGTAAAATGTCATGTAACTTTCTAGTAGAACGCTGTCGATGTCGATATTGTGACTTTTAGATGGCGTCACAAGTGACAGGCAAGGGTATAAAATATTATCCCAGAACTGTCATCTGTCTCTTTTTATTATCATTTATTAATTGCTGTCAGTTCATCATATAAATAATGTTTTTTTTTTTAATCATTTTTTGTTTATTCCCGGCTCTTGAATTTAACTGTCATAATTGTGCATGTGTCAATCCATGGCCAACTTGATGACATATTTTTCCAGAAAGCGTCTCTTGTCACTCTTATGGATTAGAAAAGGAGAGCCGATAACGGACTGTCAATTCAACAAATATTAAAGATTTATTTTGAATCAATTGTTGTCAATTGGCTCTTGAAGTTAACTGTCAATGGTCACTTCTGTCAAATTGTACAACGAACTATTTGTCAAATAAGTGTCAATCCATAGCCAACTTGATCAAGGAACATACACACCTACAGGATTACTTATCGGTCTCGTTTTTGGTAATCACCGCCATATTAGTGCATTACCGTTTCCGACGTCATCAACTAAGTTGTTAGCTGTTTAAACAGCCTACGTTAAGATGAGAAACGCCATGCCACCTACGTCACAACTGATAATTTGGCGCGGTGGGGATTTGTTAAGCCATCCTGTAGTAGTAGAGTATACATACTATTATCCTTGCCACTTAATGGCATATATTTTTCCAGAAAGTCTCTTGATAAAACCGTCAACCGATGGCGGACTGTCAATCCAACAAATAATAAAGATTCCTTTTCAATTTAGTGTTGTCTATTCTCGGCTCTTGAAGTTAACTGTTAATGGTCAGTTCTGTCAAATTATACAACAAAGTATTTGTCAAATAATTGTGTATGTGCCAACTAGATGGTATATTTTTCCAGAAAGTCTCATTGATTAGAAAAGGAGGGCCGATGAAGGACCGTTAATTCAACAAATAATAAAGATTTCTTTTCAATCAATTTTTGTCTGTCCCTGACTCTTGAATTCAACTGCCAACTGTCATATCTGTCAAATAATTGTTCAAATAATAAAATAGAATAATTGTCATGGAGAATTACAAATGGACAAAAAATGACATTAGAAACCGTTTATTTTTGATAGTTGACAGTTGGCAGTTGACAATTTGACGTTTTAAATATGTAGTTAAAATTAAAAGTGAGACATTTCACTTTTCATTATTTCTAGTCTTACTGTAGTATATGTTTGAGTTTATTGTGAATTCTACTTTAGATTTTTAGAATAGTGTAAACTTGCCTTTATTATATTAGTTTGAGATCATTAGAATAGATGTCGCTATCAAGTGAAAAAGGACGTTCTAGAAAATATTTCGACTGATAACCTGGCTTGTAACGGTAGATCGAATAAAGGATTTTACTTGAAAATTAAAGTATTCTAGTTGTTTCTTTAATTAAAAGTCCAAACACGACACTTACTACTTAACTGACAAATTTCACTTATACAGCCTTGACATTTGACAGTTGTATGTGTCAACTTGATTAAATATTTTCCTAAAAAGTCTTTTGTCACTTTCATCGATAAAGACATTGTTGATTTGATATGAAGTTTTAAGAATCTGAAGTTTAACATCCAAAATTTAAGACGACAAATTCAGATCCTTTGTTATGGAGGCTGTAAACATGTCAAAAAACGATACACGGTGTCATATTTTTGACACAATTAATTTCTACACTAACATCTGTCATCCATTGATGCATGTCAATGTCAATGAGAAAAATGCAAAAGTGAATTTGTAAATTAATGCAACTAAACATCTTTTGAAAACTTTGAGAACATATAAAAGGATTGCAACCGTTTGACCGGTCGGCTACATTTGACAGATAAACAATGGAGTAAACGTCATTTGTATGACGAATGACGTAAAATGCGTTGCTCATCTGTCAAAGTTATCGACTGGTCAATCGCTTGAAAACTCTCTTCCTTTCGAATATCTTTCAACGGCTGCTAAATTAGTAAAGTTCGGTTAATCCTTGATTAAAAGTTTGACACTGATGACAGATGTTCACATGATCTTTCATTCAAAGTTATAGAGACGATCACGTGAGGATTAACCTAACTTGGCAATTGTGACATTGATGCAAAATGCAAAATGCAGATTCTCACGAGAAACGTTCGTTATCGTCTTTTGATGGCATATTTTTCCAGAAAGTTTCTTGTCACTCTCATTGATTAGAAAAGGAGGGCCGATGATAAATAATAAATATTTTTTTTCAATCAATTTTTTTCTATTCTCGGCTCTTGAATTCAACTACCAACTGTCATTTCTGTCACATTGTACAACGAACTATTTGTCTAATAATTGTGCATGTGTCAATCCATGGCCAACTTGATGACATATTTTTTTAGAAAGTTTCTTTTCACTTTCAATGATTAGAAAAGGAGGACCGATTATGACGGACTGTCAAATCAACAAATAATGAAGATTTTTTTTTCAGTCAATTGTTGTCTATTCCCGGCTCTTGAAGTTACCTGTCAATGGTCACTTCTGTCAAATTGTACAACGGAGAATTTTTCGAATAATTGTGCATGTCATGTCAATCCATGGCCAACTTGATAGTATATTTTTGCAGAAAGTCTCTTGTTACTCTTATTGATTAGAAAAGGAGGGCCGATGACGGATAGTTAATTCAACAAATAATAAAGATTTCTTTCCAATCAGTTTTTATCTATTCCTGGCTCTTCTTCGTTTATCCTTTTTTAATGGTATACACCAATAAGAGACAGAGAGACTTTCTGGCAAAATCAAGTAGGCCATGCATTTCTCTAATCAACTGTAAAAAATTGACGTTTTGTTATGTGACGTACAGTTTGTGACACTCATGAAAATTATTATATTTTCCTATTTGAACAATTATTTGACAGAAGTGACCATTAACAGTTAACTTCAAGAGCCGGGAATAGATAAAAATTGATTGAAAAGAAATATTTATTATTTGTTAAACTGACAGTTTGTCATCGGCCCCCTTTTTCTAATCAATGAGAGTGACAAGCAAGTTAATAGATTGTTTGATACTGCTAAAAAAATGACGTCATCAAGAAGATCTTATGGAGATTTGTATTATGTTTAGATATCCAGATGACGTCATATAAATTATTGGGCAATCTAAGCTCCTAAAGTTAATAGGTTGTCTGGTAATGGGTAACTTGATGACGTATCTGGGATGCCTTATGGAGATTTGCATCATGTTGAGACACTTCAGATGACGTCATCCAGTTATCCAAGCAATCTGCCACTCTCAAATAACCTTGCAGGCAACCTAATAGCGAAGTCCATTATTAAAACCAGTGTAGAAAAAATGTATTTTTATCTTTTTTTAATACAAGCTGGTAGAAAACGATATAAATACACTCAGTGCGCACTAAACCTTTCGATGGAATTCGCTATATAACTCTGTCAAACAATCTTGAATGACAAGAAACTTTCTAGAAAAAAATATACCATCAAGTGACACATGCACAATTATGACAGAAATAAGTTGGCAGTTGAATTCATGAGCCGGGAATAGATTTCCGATTCCGACTCAATGAAGTATTGTCTGTCAATGGTCACTTTCGTCAAATTGTACAACAAAGTATTTGTCGAATAATTTGTGCAGGTGTTAATCCATGAGCAACTTGATGGTATATTTTTTCAGAACATCTCTTGTCATTTTCATTAATTAGAAAAGGAGGGCCGATAACAGTCAATTCAACAAATAATAAATAAAGATTTTTTTTCACTCAATTTGTGTCTATGTCTGGTTCTTGAATTCAAGTGTCAACTGTCATTTCTGTCAAATAGTAGATAGAATAAATCATTGTACGTCAGCACTGGAAGATTGCAAATGGACAAAAAAAATTACGGTATAACGTCAGAAAGTGTCTATTTTTGACAGTTTATTGGGGCAATGAATGACTTATTTGATTTTGCCAGAAAGTTTATCTGTCTCCCTTTAATGTAATTGATTGAATAAGGATAGACGAGGATAAACAAGAAATTAACCCATTTAATTTGTCGTGCCCCTTGTATAATTTAGTGAAGCGAATTTTGGACAAATGGAAACACAAATTACAAACTTTTTGAAAACGCCGCCATTTTTCACTTTTAATTTTTCTCAATTCTACTACTTAGTTGACTAACTTCACTTGTATACTCTTGACATTTGACAGTTGTTGTATGTGTTAATCCATGGCCTACTTGATAAACTACATTTCTAGAAAATCTTTGGTAATTTTCATTGATAAAGATACAAGAATCTAAAGTATTACTTTTAAGAATTCAAACTTTAAGAGGGTGAAATTCAAATCTTGCGTTGTAAAAATGTAGAAATTCGGTACGAGGCTGTAACCACGTCAAAAAACGATACACGGCTTCTGTCATATTTTTGACAGAAAGATATTTCTACACTAACATCTGTCATCCTTTGATGTATGTCAATGTCAATGAGAAAAATACAAAAGTGAATCAACTTAAGTTAGATGTGTAAAGTTTTATTGAATAAAATCAATGCAAGTAGCAAGTAAACATCTTTTGAAAACTTTAAAAACTTTGAGGATTTCAACTCTTTGACTGCTCGGTTACACTTGACAGATAAACAATGCAGTAAACGTCATTTATTTTGAATGACGTAAAATGCGTTGCACAATCTGTCAAAGTTACCAACTAGTCAATCGCTTAAAAATCTTCTTTGTTCCAAACACTTTTCAACTTGAAAAGCTGTAGTTGTCAATTTTTACTATTACATGCGGTTGAAAGATGACACTGATGACATGTTTACATGATCTTTTCACTTGCAGAGAATTAACTGAACTTGACAATTGTGACATTTGAAAGATTCCGAATTGACAAAACCCAGATTCTCACGAGAAACGTTCCACTACGCGAATTATCGTCCGTTTTTCCTAGAGA